CACACATATACATATATGTGTGTGTATATATATATATATTTGTACCAGCTAGGCCTTTGATGCGTAGCACCATCTCAGCATTAAGAAAACATAGGTTTTGAGGGACTGAACTTTTTGCTGTAACATCAGCTGTATTTTGCTTGACCACACAATTACTGTGTAGCCATTCACAACCTTTCCATTGCTATACATACAGTAACCGTTTCCACAATTCTTTGCCCAAGCCTGATTGCTCTAGTGTGGCTATTCTTACATTCAAAGGGTTAACAACACATCTCTGTCCACTCTGGTATCATTCTGTCACCTTTCTCCCTTCTGGAACAGGATTTTGCTGTTCCTCTGCTCCTGGCATGGCACAGGGCAAGGGCATCCTGAGCTGCACTGGTTCCTCAGCAGGCCTGTCTATATGGGCACACTTGTTTTCTCCTGTTAGAAGCATGTGAATAGGTGCATTATGCAGGCCTGACAGCTACCAAAAAAAAAAAAAAATCCCAAATAAAGTTTTTTGGAGATTAGCAGTAGAAAAACACAGAGAAAAAGAATCATTGCATTCTCATTCCTTGATGGACCACTCCATCGAGAGGCTTTTAATCTGTAGTGGTATCTGTATCCATCAAAAATCTGCGAAGAACTTCCCTAGCATCCAACAGATAAAAATGTATATATAAGCAGAGTTACTTCTTAACAAATCTTAAACTGGCTTATCTCGAGTCATTGCAATAATTTTAAAACAATGTTGTCAACTATTCCAATAGTCCAAGTCATTCCTACACTATGAATTATCATCAGTATGAACAACTTTCATAAATAGATACTAACTTCTTAATAAGGGTAACTGAACACTTCAAAAGTGGTAAAACGCATCTCAAATTAATATGGATGGGTAAAACACTGCTTATGATTTCCCATCATTTATCAGCAAGGACTATTTTACTGCCTGATATTTACTTGTAACACTACATAAAAAGAAAAACAACAGACCAGCTAAACAATGTTTTCTGAGGTCTGACATTCTGAAACTGTTAACAACCTCATTCCCAAATCAGTGGACTCTGCTTTTAAAAATTATTTACAATAACATTACACCTGCCCTATAACTTCAGCACCTGTTTGTCATATCATAATGGGAACTGACTTTAAAGATGCATAACTACTGTTCAGCAATCTGATTTGATCTTTTGGGATCATCAATATTTGGGTATTTCTTCAGAGGCAAATACAAACAGAAGAAACTACATAAACTGTGTGACACTACCTTGAAAGCTCAAACTGGATTTCAGATTTTCACTATATTTCACAAATTTCAGGCTGGGACTTCAGATTTTCACTATATAGTGTGAAAAAGCAATAGCATAAACTCATAGAAAGACATGCTGAGAGGATTAGCTGCAATCTCTAGGAAAAGTCGTGATTAAAAAGTTCATTACTGAGGCAAATTCTAGCAACACTTATACACAGAAGGTATCAGCAAAGCTTCCTCAAATTTATGTTACTGTAACTGAAAGGAGAGGTTAGCCCATTTGCTTCTTTCACTCTGAGTTGTTTTTGTTCCTCTAGAGATAAGGAAAAAAAACTTTATTTCAGCTTCCCAATGTAAAGCACATTTAGTTGAAACATAAAAGCAAAAAGTTTAAACATAAAAAGCAAAACAAAAGCTGTTAAAAGGCTCCAAACACACTAAGAGCCCACCTGTTAGCCTGTTTGGGTGGGAAAGAGAGAACAGTGCTCCCAGGGCTACTGACTTCCAGCAGCTGGCTAAAGAAATGAAGTATAACCAATGCCCATGCCATTTAGAAGGCATCCAGCACATGCACGCTTCTTTATTGAAGCTGCTAATTTCTACCACTAATTCAGACATAATATTCTTCTGAAGTCCACCAACTCCATCATAAAGGAACATCACAACAAATATCACTGAGAGGAAAGACAGGGAGAAGGAGAGGGAGAAAGAGAAGCCACAACTCATTAAAATAGAGCTGACCTCCTCCTGGCTGGGGAGCAGCTGGTAACCTGCAAAGCACAGCTCCCAGCAGCGTGCTGACCTCGTCATCAGTACTGAGCTTGTTTTCCTGTTCCAAAACCCGAGTACAACAGACGCGATGTAGGAAGTTAATTTAGTCAAAGGCACACACAAATAACTGAGAATGCATTTCAGAGCAAACTGTGAGGGCTAACACTTCTAGTACTTGGTTAGAAGCAGGTCATCTGGCTGAACCTGGCCCTGCACTTTTGTTGCTCCCTACAGGCACTTTCACCACAGTAGGCATTTCTCTTTCTCCTCTAAGGCATCTCTGCCATAATAGTTGCCAAACACTTGTACAGTATTTTTGGTATTTTTTTTTTAATTAAGCTTTCATATTGCTACACGCAAATTTTTCTACTGCTGTTTTCTTGGCTTTCCTCAGAAATGAGGCAGAAAGAAAAATGCTGATGGTGCTAATGACATCATGAGGAACAATATTTTTCCTTCAAATTAACTTTCCACTAGAAACATAGGTTTGTAATATTAATCACACGAAAGTATTCCAATCTGTTTTGATGCTTGAAGAATCTTCTTTTATTTCTCTGTAATTTAATTTTCTAAAATGAAAGTCTTTTGCATGCTTCCTATTTCCATATTGAAAAAAATAGCATTTATCCCATTACCATGGAACATTTTGACAAATCAAAGGAAACTGGTTCAAAAATAGGTAGAGACTGTAAACATTACAGGACTCTTCCCTTGGAGCCAGAAAGAGGATGCAGGATTCCAGTATCTTCCCTTTCCATCAGCAAACACTGTGAAACCCTCAGACAATTCCTCCTTTAAGGCCCACACTGTGATCCCACAGGATCGCTGTTATGATAAGTGATCAAGAAATCTATGAGAACAGACAAAGAGCATTAGCAATGTTCAAAAACTACGAATCCCATGGGGAAATATTTGATTGTGTAATTAAAGGCTGTATCACAACATAAACGCACAGGAGGGGATGGTCTTAGAACAAGGAAAGCAATTATATTGTTTCCTTATCTTTTAAACATTTGAATATGAAACCTTACCCTTTGAAATGTCTCAATGTTAAAGAGATACACGCGCTCTATATGCATGTGTATATATATATACACATATATGCGCACACACACATATGTATAAATATGTAATACGAGAACAATCCTGAATATCTGCAGACATTTGTATTCTAAAAACAGCATTCTGTACATAAGTGGTGGCCACATAATAAAGGACATTTGCACATAAAATAAATGTACACCAGAGCTCTGTATTGCTATTAAAGCTTTTCATTCCATTTTTTAAAATTATCTGCCTACTCTTCAAGTAAATGACACACAGCTGTGTATCTGTCACACAGTAGTAAATAATTCTAGAAAATGTGTGTGTGTCGAAGTTTAGATAAGTATTGCATAACAACATGTTAGAAAATCACTACGATTATTCTATATAATGAAAACCAGTTTTTAAAAATTTACCTATGTTCCCACAGAATTTCTGGTATCAACATGCTGCAGAAGCCAAGTAGACTTCCAGTTGGAAAATACACAAAAAAAATATTTAAATTGCCATACCACCAAGTAACTAATAATGATCGTCTCCAACAAATAAAGAGAACACCATCCTTTAACTTTCACAGCACAACAGTAACATCTGATTCTTCAAAACAACTACAGCTGTATGGACGCTGATCAAAGTCAGTAAAATTACACAGGGACTCAAAGATCTGCCCGTACAGATCACTTTAAAAAGAAGCAGAGTCTTAACGCCATCCTACAACTATTTCTTTGATGTGATAAATTCAATATGTTCATTGCCAATCTGTTACAGAAGTTGCTTTTCTATTAAGGAATCTTAATGGTATTGAGGATGAGATCAGAAGCACGAGGGAAACCTTACATTTATATCATAAACACCATGAAAGATGGAAGGATGAAGCATGTGGGCAATATGGCCTTCAGCTGCAGATGACAGCAAATATGCTGTGCAAAGTGGAAAAGGGACTTAGCAAGTAAAATTAATTCTACTTGCTTTTAAAGTCACGTTTCTTCTCACAGTAGTCATGTACAACTTTCATGACAGCAAGATCTCAGTCCCTTGAAAAAATATACTATTTTCAGTGCTTCAAATATCAAGGTAATCCATAGATTACAATTTTATTATATTCGCTGCCTGGTTAATAACAACACGGTGAGTATGATTTATTTTCCATTTTCTTCATTAAAAAGGGCAGGGGTATATTTACTTAAATGATTTTTTTTTTCTTTAAATACTTTGAGGCTCCTTATAAAACATCTGTACACAATATACGAACAACAATCTGTTTATCTACTCTGTCTACATACAGCTTATATCAAACATGTCCTATGACTCTTCCACATAGTGTAAAATAACTGCTTGGCACTTGCTGTATTCCAGCTGTTCATGCCAGGCAAACCAAAACACTTAGCTGATTCTTTTCTTCCCTCCTCTCTTCTGAATGGCAACCAATATTTCTTTCCAACCAATTGACCACTACCTCATTCCTGATCCATTGTCCTGAAATATGAGAGCTCAGTCTTCAGCATGCTAGAGGAAGTGACAAGAATGTCTCCAATATAAACAATATAACAAAAATTACTCAAATTATTTTAAATGAATCTTAAATTCAATTATCTCAGGAAAGAAAATGTGAAAGAAGAGAATTAAGTAGAGAGCTTGTAAGAAAGAAATATACATGAACAGTCTTTCAAATATTACAGGCATAGGTAGTTTTTTGTACATTCAAACAAGTATCGCAATCACACAGCCTTCTACTCTGATCTAACTAAATGCATTTAAACCCACACCTTTAGCTAAGCTGGTACTACAAGGCTGCAATAGCTTAAAATTATTCTCTACAAACCTCTACGATGAACTCCAGCAGAAGCTATTTCTACTTTTCCATAAAACCTATGGACAGCTGAGAATAGTGAAAGGAACTTTTATAGGTCTCTTTAAAACAACCACTATCTTAATTCTGTTTTAGGAACATGTACATTTGAAGCAAGTGCTTCACAAGATATTAATAAAATTAAAATCCACGTCAAAATAATGTAATAACATGAGACAATGTAAAATGTAAACATCTGATACCAATCAATGTGACCACCATCAACGCTCAAACAAAAGTTCAGGTAAGGAACACTATTTGACATCTATTTTTTGCAAGAGTCTGCATAACAATAACTGAGGTCAGCAAGGAAACTTCTATGGAATAGGATCGAGCATGCAGAGCTGGCACAGATGAAAAGCACAATGGGAACAGTATTTTTTGTGGGAGATGCTGTGACATTCCTTAACAAAACAACCCTGCCAAGCAGTAACCCTAAGGCAATTTTATTTCATAACTAAAAATTGATGTTTTTTCCCTTCACTTGAGAGAAAATCCTTGGTTTCTATTCCAGACTGAAAGGCTCAGGTGGAACAGAAAGTTTGCACTATTTCCACTCATCCCTTCCCTGTATTTGAAAACAAAAACATAGCATTACCTTACTTGACTGATTTTATCTATCTATATAAAATCATACATATATATTGTTATGAAGTGCCCTTTATGACATCTTTCCATGATTTTCTCCATATCTGGAAGGTTAACAGTTTTATCCCTTTTTCCCAGGTGACCAGAATCTCATGTTATCTCACGGACCTTGGGCTCTAACAGAGCACCAGATTCCTACAAGACCTGCAAGAATATCCCAATTTAGCAACAATGCTTGACAGATCCCCCCCTCTGCTGCTCCTGCTGCTCAGAGAATGCCTGAAAACATAAACTTTACAGCCCAAACTGTACTTTTTTTCCATAGTGTGCTCCAGAAGAATCCTGGTACAGCTAGAAGTTGGGCAGATCTGTGTTTGAAAACCTGCTGTCAGAAACTACAAGTTGGATTTGAGCTCTCTGGGTCTTTTCTTGTAGAGGGCTCCCTCTGCCCCTGTGCGTGAGCAGAGAGGTGGAAACCCTTCCCAAGCCTCTGTCCTTCTCCAGGGAACAGCTGTTAGCAAGCACCTGAGCTGGATCCAGGCTTCATGCATTAGATTCACCTTTTTTGTTTGTTTTGAAAACTGAAGGCTGCACCGATACATGGAATTTAAAAATTAAGCTTGTGTGGTAATTTATTTGGCAGAGAAGTGGGTTATGCAATCCCTAACGGCTCTTCCTTTGATGACTAGGTAGAGACATGAATTAGCAGCCTGTCATATTTCTGGAGAAATAACTCCTGAGTAGATAAAAACCCAACCCAACTTCTGTTTCTGCCTTTTCTTCTGTGATTTCAGGCATTTTCAGTGTCGTTTCTAACACTACTGAATAGCCGTTTGGAATCCTGATGTAATTAACAGCAATTCAAAGCCAAAACCAAACTTAGATTATCTTACTGAAGTTCCCTAGACATAGCTAAACATTTAGTTACCTCAGAGAGAAATACCTGGATTCTGTAAGCAAACTGCACTTGAGTAGGCCTGAGCCTTGCTTTCATGCTTAACTGAAAGCACTTGTACACTCAACCACAAGCCAGGAACATCTTCCATATCAAAATAAAATACCCAGGAATTATTATTATTATTTTTTTTAATAGAAAGGATGAAAAAACATTTACATTATCCCCTTATATTGATCTTGGGCCCACAGGTCTTTCTCCTTATTACACCAAATGGTAACACCGGCTTTAATGTAATGGCACTTGTCCAGTGTCTGCAGTAACACTGGAACAAAAAAAAATCCATGTGCTGCCGCAGAGAAAAACAAGTACTTCATAAAGTCTCTTTAAAGTTCTTGTAAGTTATTTCAAATCCAGCTGGCTCAATAGCTAAATATTTCATATTCATAATATTCCCAGACATATTGCCACACTAAAAATATAGCACAGAAATGACATCAAAACACCAAAATGCCTATTTTCATACAGGCATGCAAACAAAACCCCAGAAATTCCTTATTTAAAAAATGGCAGCTGTGAGCTGGTGTGCCTGCACGTCTCCTCTCTGCGCTAGCTGTGGGGCTCAGGACCACCGTCCGTGACTTGCTGGAGCTCCCCTTGCTCCTGTAACGCCCCACTCGCCCCTCGCCAGTAACTCCTCAGTGGGAAGGCAGAGCCAAGGCCTGGCAGTGCGGCAGCTGGGCCTGTACAAGCAGGCGCTTCCTGCGTGCACATCAGACGGGCAGCCGCTGTCTGCTGTGCTGGAGCCTCGGATGTTGCTGTTTACAGAGCATGGAGCCAGGCCGTGGCCGAGGCTGGAGGCGCGCTGTCTGCTTCCGCGCGACGCTTGCCTTTGTCTGGGGCTGCTGCGGAGAAGGCAAAGCTGTGCTGCTGCTTGCCCAGCCTGCTCCTGCTCTGCTTGAGGAAAGGTAATGCAGAGCTACTGTCCTGTTAATAAGGCTGGACAACTCTGATGTTAAAAAAAAAAAAAAATCAGGATTTTTTTCCCCTCTGTCAGACTTAGCTATACACAATAAAAAAATGAAGCGATTTATCAGACATGACTATATGATGTGCTTATTCCAAAATTCTTACCTGAACTGTGCAACAAAATCTTGATTAGAGCACAATTTTAGGCAACTAATCTATTCACATTAAAAAAATAATTATACAAAAATGAGATGGTGAGAATGAGTTTCTGATAAAACCTTTCATTACACTTGTGGTTTCTACCCTGGTATTTCAGACTTCACGTCCCAAATCAGATTAATGCTGTAATCCTCAACTGTAATCCTTAAGTTTAGCAAATATTTTAGTACTTAAATTTTGCTCTTCTGACTTACCCAATAACATTTTTTTTCTGCACTTTCAGTACAACTCAGTATTTCATTCTTGTATGTACATGGTTTTGCAATTTTAGATTTGAAAGTAGGTTCTACAAAGCTGCGAGTTAAACCTGTCTGACATTTTAGTAACATTCATGGTTACTAAAGACTGTGTTTGCCTGGCTAATGCCAATTCAAACAACACATTGTATTCCAAAAGGTATGCATCTGCTCCAGCTTCTCCTATCATTACTTAAAAGGACAAAGTCTAACATGAAAACACATGCCTCATTTTCCCCTTAATAGTCACTCATACACCCCTGTTTTTCCCAGTTATCTTCTCTACATGGCCATATAATTTCTAACTTTTACCAGATTCCTTTTTAAAGGCTTTAAGAAGTTTTTTTTCTTAATATTAAGATGATAACTCTAACTGTTCCTCTCCCCTAATGTCATTGGGGAAACATGGTGTAAGATGAAAACGTTAGAAGGAACTGAAAGATGAAGCAGAAAGACAGAAGACGGGGCCTGCCAAAAATGCCCCTCCTTTCTTGTTCCAGTGTCCCCAAGAAATGCAGCGAATGGTATCTTCCCTTCCTTTACTTGAGACCTAGGCACTCATGCTCAGTCAGCATCAGCGTATCTTAGTCCCTCTCTCACACTCCCATTCCCTGTTCCGCTCCCATCCAGCTACCATCACCTCAGAAGTCACTCGCTCCCCCTTGGCCACCATCACCTGTGAGCAGAGGAGGCCAGCAGAGCAGCTGAACCTCTCCTGGCTCCTGCTAAAAGACATCTCCTCCCCAGCTGAGAAACTTTTGTAAGGGTTATTTTCCTCCATCCTTACACCCTTGCTTAAAATGGAGATTCAGCCAGCTTCTGGGCAGGAAGAACCTCCTTCTCAGATACTTCACAGATATGAGATGTAGCTATTTGGGGACATCCTTAAGTAGAAGGAAATTAAAAGAAGAACAGCAAAGGATGAGGAAACACAGCAAGCACAACAAAGTATGTCAGAAGGAGAAAGAAGCATATCCAACACTCCGCAGGGCAGAAGCTGAAATGGTTGGAAAGATGTGGTGAGGAGAAAGGCTTTCACCTCAGAGGACTCCAGCAAGATCAATAGCTTCCACTGGTAAGTAGCTTCTGTTTCCAAGGTATCAGCTGAAGTAACCTTCACATAAATAACTACAGCTTGTGTGAGGGCACACAGGTGCATATGTTATATGCATATGAATGCATTTTTCCCCCTCAAGGAAAGAAGTACTTTCCAGAACTAGAAACATAAGGCAAAGAGAAACTTGGGTTCTATTTCTGGCTCTGATACTGAATAACCTGATCTTAGGTAGGTTACTTTTTTTTTTTTTTTGTGCTTTAGTTTAGTTGGTTATATAATGTGAAAAACAGTACCTTCCCTAACTTCAAAGGTTATTCTGATTATTTTAAAATAACAAGAAGATGAAAAAGGCAATAATGATAAATAGTAATCCTTAGTTTGCAGTTATGCAAAATTCTTCTACAGATCTAAGTACTTGATTTCAGATGAAATACAGACATTGTTTGATGTTCATTTCTCGCAGCTTAAGTGCCAGCTCGAGCATCATCCCTTGCCTCCTACTCCCAGGTGCTTGTTCCACCCCAGCAGTGCCCTGAGAGCCGCACGGCACAACTGCGGTTATGCTGAGCAGTGAACTGGGTGAGAAAGGCAACAGGGAGACCACGGCAGGGAAAGAGGAAGATCTGGATAACAACATCCCTGCCAAAACAAATACACATCAATCAAGTATGAAGGCTGGTATCAAAGCTATCAATTTGTGTTACACCATGGGTATATGAGAAATACAGCTGACTTCACTTGTATAACATGTTCTGTCTGCCCTACAGTAACAAACTTGTTTCAAACCAGGAATAAATATTTCAACACAAATTCAAATAGGTAATGTGCAGACATTTCATAATCCTATGGAACCAATTTGTTAACAGTGTTGGAATCTGGGTGATTTCTAGATTAGCTTCAGAGATTGAATAAAATACTTTTGCATACTGACCTATAGTTTCTGTAACTCTTATATTTTAAGCATTTTCAATTTAATTAAAAGAATTCTTAAATCAGTCCCTAAAGTAGTTACAGCTCTGAATATTGATTTTAACTGTGTTAATGACATCATACAATTAAACTGTAAGGCTGAGGTTGGTATCTTCACAAGATAGATTTACACAAATGCCTGCTTAAAAAAAAAAAAAAAAAGAAAGAAAGAAGAATGGTAAAGACAACCTCTTTAAAATTGAATACAAAGCAGGCTTCTGTCAATCTGATTTACTCAAATCCTGTATGTACCATGAAATCCTGTTAAATGAATGGCAAAAAAACTCAATTCCCACTAAATGAATAGAAACCTTTTTTGTCAAACAACGAAAAAATTAAACTTGAGACTGACTCCTTCCTGACAGGTGTTCCTGCTTTAACACATCACAAAATACAAGCAGTCATAGCCAAGGTTTTTGTATGACTCATCTGGTTCCCAACTGAACACCATCAAAGCATTTTTAGATTTCAGCATAGCTGCTATGAAACTTGCCTATTTTTAATACAGATTTATTTGGTTGCCCAAGATTAAGACACTCCCCAATCACTTGTCTTCTAATTTTTTCCCCACCTTCATTTAAAAAAAATGAATCTTTTTTCATGCTAGTCTTAAAAAAAACCACAACAGATTTAGGAAAAAACAGTTCTAGAAGTTCTATAAATTCCATTAATGAGTGTCTACTGCCAATTGAAAGGAAAGACTTCAATAAATTTTATAATTTCTGCCTGCACTATAGATTTTTGTTTGCTTGCTTTTTGCTTTTTTGTTTTCTTTGCTTATCCCTTCTAACAATTTGCTGGTAAACACATCAGTTAAGCCATTGGCCTGGTACAATCCCATTATTTTTTTAAATGTGAGTTCTGTTTTCTAATCTATTCTTTCAAAAAGGCAATTCAAGTGTTCTATGATTTCTATAACACGAGATTTTTTTTTTTTCTCCTTTCTAAATGTCCCTTTGATTTAAGATTTCAAATCCATAAAAGGTCTGCAAGGTACCCAGTCCACTGCAACAGCATTGCTAGTTGTCAAGAACTTACACATTTCCTCTAAACAACAAAAACATGGCTAAATTTTAGCTAGAAGCAGATATTCAAACTTTAAAAGGCATTTATACTATTGACATAACACATAGCAGTGATTACAAATACATTAACACAGGGAACAAATTCATGGCATTCTTCTGGCATCACTGTGTTACTGAACGTGCTTTAGGTCCTGCTTGAGCTGAAACTGTAAATTACTAAATAAAGCAAATACTTGAATTCTTATACAGACTGCTAAAAAAATCTCCAAATTTAGCAGTTTACGCTCACCTCCCAGTCACTCAAGTTAGCTAGCAACAGTCTGCAGGCATAAAATGAACACATCTTTGCTGAACACGTAGATGAAGTATGACCTCAGCATGCTAATTAAATGTTTAGTTCTGCAATCCCTCCTGCCATAGGAAACTTCTATTCCATAGCAAACATAACGTTTGACCACACAGCTGGATTCTTGCTGAATGCAGGACTGTGCTCGCTCTTGTTCCCTGCTCGGGGTAGCCTGCTAGAGATTATAACACCACACACTAGTTCAATGTTGGACCAAATTCAGGAGAGGGGGGACACTATTCAGCCAGATATCTTAGTGCCTTGGTTCTTTTGTTCTATTTTGGAAAGATACGAGAAATTAAGGATTTGCAACTTACTAATGGGAAAAAAAAATCATAAAATGTAAACATTATAGTCTTCATAATAGATATTTAATACCCTGAATCTATTATAACTGTCTCCCCACAGCAGAGAGCTTGATGTTTTCTTTTTTAAAAAAAATAAATAAATTAACCTATCTGTATAAAAATAGCAAATGTCTGAGCTATATAGCTGAAATCTCAAATTAGCTTAAAAACGTTTCGATGCGCACTCTCCCACTGCCATCACACACCAACTGTTCTCTATTTTGTACTGGATATAAGAAGTCTCCTCTGTCCAAAGCTGAGCATGTCTTTCACAGGACTCTCACGGAGAGTGTGCCTGTACAAGCACTCTTTGCAAGAGCTGCAAGGCCTTTGGACAGCATCCCTCCCAGAGCTCCTGGCACTGTCAGGAGATGCGTAACACTTCTGGTTTACGGTGTGTATTTATTTCACCCACACACATTTTTAGTTTGCAGCAAAGATGCTATGAATGGCTCTGCAGCTGGGAGTGTCCAGTGTAGGTGTGTGCAGTGCTCTGCACACCCAAACCTACGTGTGGTGGTGGATGCTTCCCAGCGTCATCTTCACTCCTGACAAGTGCGCAATTGATCTGCTGACAGCATTCATTAAGGCAGGGAAGCTTGAGTTACTCTGCAGGATCATTAAAAAACTTCTTCAAGAAACAGTTTAAATATTTCTATATGTTCATCTAACTCTGCTGGTGGCTTTCCATGCTTTATTTCACAATACGTTTTCACCAAGTTTTCTCTGCTTTCTCCTCAAGGAGACAGCAATGTCTGGATGTGCATTCAGATGAAGAACATTGCTACATGTAATTCACTGTGGCTCACTTAGCATTATCCATTTTGCCTTACTCACTGCAATTATATCCTCAGAGAAGAGAAATTGGGAAAAAAAGAATCGCATTTAGAATAAAATAAGTTTGCATGTGCTGCAATTTAGAAAACTACCTTTCAGGAACTGATGTTTGTGTGAATGTATTGGGGCATTTCCCCACCCCTGGTGTTCTTTCATTTTTATTTTTGTGTTTGTGTGTGTGTGTCCGCATTTTTAAACAGCAAAACTTCCTGTGTCAAAGGGACACATATATAAACTGTACTTGTGTTTTATAACATTTATACTAATTTGCTGGGGTTTAAAAAATTTGCTGGGGTTTCTAAAAATAGAAGTTAATAGAGTTAATGCTTTAACGTGAGAAACAGAACTATGAACAAGCAACAACAATCTTAGTTGCTCCACTCAGACTGTCTGGCTGGCTAGAGCACACATCACTCATGTGTAACTCAGACAGACACATCCAGCTTGTGAACAGATTGATAGACATGGCTCTGAACCATCACTCTATGGTACATGGGAATATTTTGGTTCTGCATAGGAAAGAACCAACCAGCATTCTCATTTCCTGTTCCAAGTGTTACTAAAGTGAAAAGCGCTTTTATACAGGCTGCAAGGATACCTTATCCTTGCTCAGAGTATATATAGTTTTGAAGTCAATATGAGTGTCTGGAACAAGGAACTTTTTGCTAGCCTAGGAAAATATTTACAGGCTTGCAGGCAGCTTCTAAATGAGCCTCATGCCACCAGCCTAAAGGAAAGCAAAATCCAGGCTAAAGTTGAAAGCTGTCTAATGTTATCCATAGATAATTCAGCAACTTCTATGAAATAATTGGCCTAGCACCAAGAAGCATACACACAACATTTATTAGGATTAAAATTACAAATAATTGCATAAAACTGTTGTACTGAACCACTGAATCCACCTCACTTGAATTTTTTTTTTTAAAGAATTGGATTAAACATTTCAGTTCTGTCTTGATACAACTTTGTATCAGATATCTTAGGAAAAGGAATCCTGTTCCTCAGACCTCTCTGACAACCTCTCCTAACCTAAAACAAGAAAAAAAGCTAAGGCTATAGGAAGTCTTCACAGTTTCTTCTTTCAATTGCTTTACTTGCCCCTCAGGAACAGAATTTCTAACTTCTGTCCTTAGACTATCTGTGTAACAAATGCTCTTCCAGGAATCAATCTGGTGTGGAAGCATACTACTCAAGTTAACTGAAATAAATCAGAACTTGTCTAAGTTAGATTTTAAGACTAATGAATATATTGATTTTTTTTTTCGAATTATCAAATGTGTTAGTTACAGAATAAATATATTAATATCCCAAAAGAAATCACAGATAATCAAAATAGGCTTCTGAGAAAGAAATGTATGGATTTTCTACCTATATCTGAATACAATCAATGTTTAGAAAGATCCATATCTATTCTGGTATTGAAAGCATTGAAACGAAGAATATACATTCTGTAAATTTCCAACAGCTGACATTAAAAGTCATATTTCCTATCACAAATTCAGTCATAATGAGAACTGCAACATGGGAAAGTGTCTCTCTCACACATGAATAGGAACATTCAGTCTTGCTATTCATGCTCAGGTATTAGTGACCATAGCAACAGAGCACTGTTCATTTTGTTTATTAAATATGAAACAGTGAAAGTAATAATAACGAATGGTGTACATCAACAACAGCTATTTCAATAAATAAGGAAGCAGCATCCCAAATGCAATGTGACTGGAAAGAGTAACACACACACACAGACTTCAAAATAAAAGACAGAAAGACTCAGTACACATATACAGAAGTAGATACAAGACTGAGCAATGCTACTCTTCATATTTCAAATGTGTCTACTTAGAACATTTTCAGGAATTCCCTTCACCCTAATTTACCCTATTAACAACAGTAAACATTCCTGGTTATAAAACTAACACATATATATATAGGTTTTTTATTATCATCTCTATTGCTTGAAAGTCTTTCAATAGAACAATTGTATTCACAGGGGTCTTCATGAAGATTATAGTGAATATACTGTCATGATCTCCTGTATTTCAAAGTAACAGCTTTGAAAATTAGTGTGTAATCAGGAGCACATCGACAAGATGCTTTCCTGCATGTGTTGGTTCCCTTTGGGGCTCTGTGAACTCTCAGCTCTTTCAAAAGCACGTGGTTTCTGTTAGGCAGGATGCCAACAAACCACATCAGATCTCTGTGACTTCAGAACATCCCTGACAGCTCAGTTCTTCAGAAATAATGGAGACATCTATAGCCAGAATGACACACACACCTTCTCAGGAACTAGATATCCGGTTATAAAACTCCAGGTTCATAATTACAAGCTACTCACTTGATCACAATTCAGTACCTGAGGCACTTACCTGAGTTTACCATTCACTTCATTAATGAAGAGGGCATAAGCCTTTCTTTGTAAGGAAAAGCACCTTAAAACCCCAATCCTCAGCATTCATACATACACTGAGATTTTGTACGACAAGGCAAGAGACAAATTATAGCTTCCATGAAGTTCAGCTTCTCACCTTTTTTTTGTAATCGCAGCAGAAGATCTGACGCAGAAGCTGGGCTGTGCACAGGCACAGTGCTGCCCCTGGCAGGAAGGCAGCCATCTCTGCCCAGGGCCACACTTGCATCAGCCTCTGTGGAAGCCTACTGACATTTAACTGACTGAATTCTAGCTATTTATTTATCCCATAATTAAAAAAAATAAATAGATAAAAATAGAGGCCTTATTTACGTACAGCTTCTAAGATTGTGCCAGACTGAAATACCACTGCTGTTTTACCTCCAGGTAGTCTCCCATTTGAAGACACACTGTATAATCTTTCACAAAGAAAAGAGACAGAAGTTAGCATTATGTATTGGCTTTTCAGGATCACAGTATTTTCCAGATAAAGAAATTGACCAATAAAGGTTCACAAAGAAGCAGTGATTAATGACTAACTCTGAATAGCCAACACCTCTGTAACTATCCATCCAGACTTCCAGACTCTGCTTTGGAGGCCGATCCCTGGTAGTGATGTACACATGCGGTACAGGTGAGCCTGCAAGGCAGCTGGGCTCACATGGGGCTGTACAAATCGTACTGCAAGTGACAAGCTTTCTTTCACAATTACATCCGTTCCAAAATCAAGAAAGTAAAATAACTCAGACAAAACCACGAGTTCGGATCAGATTTTTGTCAGCAATATTAGCACATAGGATAGTAACAAGCGAGGCTTAGAGAAAACATCTAATTACAGACCATGAAAAATACACGGAAGGTTTTCTTTGATCTAAATGTTATCCCACCACACAGG